ATTTGTTCACTATCAAAAACAGACAAAAGGAAACTCCAATAATGAGAAAAATCAATGAATTTAAAAGGGTGTGGAATCTGAAAACAAACTAGCCACAATGTACATTTAATTGTGTTTAATTGTATACTTTATTTAAATCGCCCTTCTCAGGGGTTTAATAATTTAGAATCAATGGTTCCCTTCAAAACATAATAAAATATTTACACTTTATAAAATATTAACTGATTAACAATACGGCTGTGTTGTTTATAAAAGTGTAACTGAAGTCCTATAATCGTGCTGTTGACATAAGCCTGTGAGGTTAGCGAAGTGATCCTTCGCAAAAGTAAATGATCTTCAAACAGTGGTGTTTATAAAATAGCTCATTAATGACTTAAGATTGAATCGCTCCAACCATTCCTATCATCAGATATAATAATAGTGACGAATCAGACATGAAAGATACTGGCTAAACCATTTGCATTTTTTTCCCAGAAGTACTGAAGACCCAATATCACCAATTCTTCTAAGATCCTGGACATTGATCCGGAGGGAGGAGGATTCTACAGTTCAATAACAAGGTAAGGAAATAAATAGCATTATTATCGTTGTTGAGATATTAATAAGAAATGCGCCTTTTCCCATTTTGAAAACGGGCTCAAACTTTGACAGTGGTAGTTGGTTTTTCCAACACCCCCTTCCCGTTCCGACGTGATAGTACATATAAAGAAGAAAGTTTGTCGATCAAACTTACAGTTTGTTTCTTTGCAGCCAAAAACCCTTTCAGCTACCACCACAAGTTGATTACTCGAGCCACCTCTTTTCTCAGACTTGAATTGTGCATTTTTCTCTAACCGGTTCTTTTGGGGAGGTTGGGGGCGCGGTGCAGTGGGGTTTGAGGAATAAAAATTCGGGAAAAGAAAACGCTGCCTATAACTCCCGGGCACCCCGAAGAAGGTTTACTGTCCTGCTGTCTTCCTTTCTCGGCTGGGCTCGGGTCGCCGCCGGACTCTCCTCGGGCTCCTTTGGAACTTGGTGGGCGGTGTCTGAGTGTGGGGCTCTCCGGAATCTGGGCGCTGAGACTCCGGACTAGGGCAGGTTTCGCTTCTAGGACCCTTTCTGCTCCAGAGGCTCCCCCGCCTCCCAGGTCCCTACTTTTTAGTAGGGATGTCCGTGCGTGTGCCACGCACCAGGTGGGCGCGGCGAGCGGACCTCGGCCTGGCCCGGGGCACACACTAGGTTGACGTGATTTCTCGCTGCGGGTGCACCCGTTCGGAATTTCCAGAATTACCCCCAGAGAAGAGCGTTTCCCGAGACCGAATTTAGTTTGGCCCTCTGGCGCCGCCGTACAGTCAGTGCTTCTTAAGGGGGACCGGCGGCTCAGGCAGCGAGGTGGTGGGGTGTCTTAGGGGTCCTGAGGATTAGGAAGGAGAGCCAAGGTGTGCTGGAGGGACAGGAGGTGCGGCCAGCTGAGGGGGCATCATCGGCCTCAGGGCAAGCGGGGACGCGTCCTCATTTTCCCGCTTCATATCGAGACTAAGGGTGTCAGCAGGCGCACCAGGCGTCTCGCTGGGGCCGCGGCTCCTGTCCACGTGCTTTTCTTTAAGGAGGTCATGCGCCCAAGCGGGATTTAAGGGACAAAAGCGCGGCCGGAGCCTGGCCTGGTTGGCTAATGCCCGTGCCACCTTAAATGAACACCGCGGCCGGAGTCGGGCTGCGTCCGGCTGCTGCCCGGGGAGTCGGCAAAAGTTTGTGGCTCAGTTACGCCTTCGCGGGACCTGCTGGAGACGCCACGCGCGGCCTCCCCAGGGACGGAGAGGCTAGGTCCTCGCCGCACAGCTCTTCCCGCTCTCGGAGCCCAGGGCCCGAGTCGCTTGGGCTCCCGGGAGTCCCAGCCCCGCATCCGGAGGACAGGCAGTCCCACCACCCTCGCCGCCACCTCGGCACGGCCTCCAGGCGGCTCGGGCTGCAAGGCTCGATATGTCGCCGGCGCTGCGAGCGCTCCAGGGACCTCATCCAGGGATGCTCACTGCCTTGCGCCCCCCGCACAGCTCTCTGTCCTGTGCCACCCACAGCCCGGCAGCCACTGCCGGTGCTTCTGCCATTTGGGGTACTCGGGCTATTGTTCTGGACCCGCGACCGTACCGGCTCTAAGGGAGAAGCGGCCTTCCCCGCGCGGGCGGCAGTGCGGCGGGCCCGGACGGCCGGCTCAGCGCGGAGGGGGAGCTCGCAGACACCGGGAAAAGTTGCTCCGAGGGGCGGAGGCGGTGGGTGGTGGGCGGAGGCGGTGGGTGGGTGGGGGGGGCGATAGCCCTCCTATCTCCAAAGTCGAAAGTACTCGGCACAGTTAGCAGAACCCGGAGCCGAGGCAGCCGCGGCCGCCTCCTGCGCGCGGGTCTGCGCCTCCTCAGGGAGACGAGGCAACCAGCGCCAGCCTCGTCGCTGCCGCCTCCGCGCCGGGACGAGAGCGCCTAGGGGCTGGGCTAGGCGGCCGCACCCTGGACCCGCCGCAGGGAGGAGGAGCAGACCCCGGGCGCCAGCGCCCGCTTACACCCGGGAGCACCCACCACTCGCGCGGCACTCGGTGCTCTGTCATCGGTCCTCCACAGCCCCGTGCGCGCGGTCCTCGCCACACCGCTTTCCCATCGCCGACTCTCCTCTTCCTCCTCCTCCTCCCTCTTCCCTGCTTCCCACTCGCCTCTCGCCTGTCCCTCTGCTTCCTCCGCAGCCCTGCCGCTGTTGGGTCGCTCGGCTCACAGCGATTGATTGATTGATGTTTAATTTCCTGCCAGGCGGGGCCCCCCTCCCCCGTCAACCTCCCCAGCCCTCCTCCCCGCCCCCCACTCTCCTTCACTGCGGTGGACCAGTCTGGCTTGGGTTTAGATCTTTCCCCCCCAACCGCCATCCCGAAATAATCCAGAGACTTCCCCTACCCCCACCCCAAATTATTATTTTGAAGGCGCTAGATCTGGGGACGGAAAGGGGGAGGGGGAGAAATCGGAAACCGAGGACAACCCAAAAGGACTCACTTTGCCTGATGACTCAACGCAACTAATAATCATCTCCCTCTCAGTGTGTCTCTCTCTGCGGCTTGTCAGTGAGTCTGGCTCCGGCTGCTGGCGGCGGCGGCCTAAAGGGGAGAGGCTGGAGGTGACAGCTTGGGCGGCCGCCGCGTTTTCTCCCGCGCGCGGTCCCGGGTCTCTGCGCCTTCTCGGCTCTCGGTGGCACCGGCCCTACGGCTCCGGCCGCGCCTCCTGGCGAGTTAGCAGCCTAGCGAAGCGGCAGCCCCGGCCCGCCTCCGCTGCCTCCCAGTTCTCAGCCCTTTCTCTCCAGAACGGGTCTCCTTTCCGAAGGTGTGAAGGGCTTTTTCTGCCTCCTCTCTTCTCCCCTCCTCCGCCGTCCCCTCCCCCGCTCGCTCGGGTGCCCCTTTGGAGGAGCCCTCCTTTCCCTCCATTCCTCCTCCCCCTCCTTCTCCCACCCCCACCCCCCCAATCATCATCATCATAACAACCATCTCCGCACTAGAAGACACCCTGACCCAGGACCGAAAACGTTAGGACCTGGGGAAGAGGAAAGGGAAAGGAGTAAAGAGAAAGGAAGACTAGGAGAACACACTGCAAGGCAAAGCACCAGAAACTTTCCACCCTGGATTCTCTACTTTTGCTCCATGGACAGAGCCCCAGCCAGCCAAGTTACAGACAGACCGTGAGCAGTAAGTACGCAGGGCGAGGGCTCCCGCGCCGCGCTCGGGCGTTCGGGGAAACCCCGGGTCCGGCTCAGTTCCCTCCCCGAAGCTCTCACCCTCCGGGACGGCGGAGCCAGGGGCGTGCGGGCGGGATGTCTTCCCGCAGCCCTCTGGCTCCGTCCCTTCGTCGCTCGCATCTCCTCTCTCACGTCCCCTCTGCCACCCCAACCTTGTCTTCTCGAGCCGTGGCGACGCGGCTTCTCCCGCGGGGAGAGCGCCTTAGAGGATTCCCAGTGCACTTTGTTGTGCCGGGCTCCTGCTTCTCCGGGATGCCAGTGACAGAGTGAGTGCAGTTTCATCAGGTGTTTACCCCTCTTCCACCGCCCCCCAGAAATCCAGGGGCGCTGAGAGCTGCGGGTTCCGCGAGGAGAGTGCTGCCAGCCAAGCGACCCAGAGGAAAACTTTTTGGAGAGGTTTTTTAAATTGGGGTTGATGAAGGCTACTCCTGCGACTAATAATTTAAGTGCTTAAAAAAAAAAAGAACCTTTGGTGTTTTATACTGAAGAGCTTTAAAAAATAACAGGATCGGATGAAAATAAAGTTCCAAAAATATAAACAATTGTAGCCCCCGCCCTTGTGATAAAGGTTATTCTGGAGGTTATTCCGACGAATACCTCCAAGTGTTTCTGGAAGCTTATTACTGTGGGATTAGGGTTGATTTTATGCAAAGTATGTTTGTGCCTCAAGACTGGCTCGGTAAAGGTAAACCGAGGATTCCAGGGTAAAACGCGGCGATTCAAGGGGTCCCTTTGCCAGGCCTTTGGTTCCTGCCCGGCCGTTAGCCGCGCATTCATCCTGTGGTTCATTTGGTTTCATGTGGATTTGTGTACATCCCCCACTCCCTCCTTGAGTCGATGAGATGTCTTTTTATGAAGTTCACTTCTTCCACAACCCTGACCCCCAGACAGTGAAGCTGTCGCACCTGGGAACAGTTTATGCCAGCCCTGTTTCAATGGACCGGCCACTTCTGGGCGTCCCTGGGTGCGGGCCCCGATGTTGTCACTGAGGGCTAATTCCTGGGGAGCAGTGACGGGGCAGAGTCTCCGCACTCTGCGCCCTGGGCTGCCTGGGGGCCGGCTTCCCGGCTCGGGCCCCTTGGGCAGCGTGGGAGGAAGTTTGTGTGGCTGTGGAGCGTCGCTCTGCCACTGGCCTGAACGTCTATCACGTGTGTGAGCGGTTTTCCCTCTTTTTTTCTTCCCTCCCCTTTCCCTCCCCCCCCGCCCCCTCCCTAGGTCCCTGCGCGTTTTATTGCGACCTGCCGGTGGGAACTTTGTCTCCGAGTCGGAGCAGCATGGAGCGGCGGAGCGAGAGCCCGTGTCTGCGGGACAGCCCCGACCGGCGCAGCGGCAGCCCCGACGTCAAGGGGCCTCCCCCGGTGAAGGTGGCCCGGCTGGAGCAGAACGGCAGCCCCATGGGAGCCCGCGGGAGGCCCAACGGCGCCGTGGCCAAGGCCGTGGGAGGTAACAGCCCCGAGCAAGGAGGCGCGCGCAGCCCGCGGCCCGGTGATAATGGCCTGGGTGTCAGGGTTCAGGTTGATTAGGCTCGTTCGCGGTGTAGGATTACAGGAAGTGAATTCCAGGTTGCCAAATAATGCCCCCGTCGCCTCTCTTCTGCAACTGGTAGCTTCATCTCAAGTTAAAACAAGAAAGTGGTTTACCCAGAGGGTGGCATTTTTTGGGCACTTTGCCACTGTGTGCTGAGGTGTTGGCAGGTTTATGTCACAGCCAGCTAACTGTTTCTAGATTTTCCTAGAGAGCTTTTTAGTGATTTAACTCTTTTGCCTTGCCTCAGAGTATCTGTTGTAGGGATGAAGTTCAGGTGCATTCGCTTTTGTGGACTAGCCTTCAATGCTCCGTCTAGCACAGGAGCAAGAAGGGTGTTACCTTGTATGTATTTAGGATAGTGCTTTGAGACAAATGTGTAACAACTGGGGATATTTCCTGCCACATTTCAAGTGTGAAATAAAGAATCATGAATCTATCAGGCCCTTAGAGGCTTTAATGTTTCCTATAAAATTTAAGGTTATATGCCTTTGTAACTTTGTTAGGCATTATAACACAACAGGGAAAATAGCGTAGTAGCCTTATTGGCTACATGCTGTTTTCTTTTCCAAGAAGTTAATATTATTCAAAGATAGTCTTTTGTAGTTTTTATTACTTAAACAACCTCTTTTAAAAAGTGGTCAGGAAAAGTAATTTTAGAAAAGGAAGATATGCAAGAAATTTAAACATTTTTCAATTATTTTGAGGTTTCTATGCCGTTTGCTAGTTGTTTTTAAAGAAAATACATACTGCTACACAGTGTGCAGTTTTTGTTTGGGATAAATCACTAGTTTAACTTTTTTGCTTCTAGAGTTTTGTTTACGTCCTAAATTTTTCAGCAGTAGCCTATTTAATATAATTCTTTATGTTAACCTGCCCGTAATGGTACAAAACCCTGGCAAAACTTACCGATAAGCTCCAATCGCCATGTTCTAAATTGCCATAGTATATATTTCGAAGTAAATACTTAGCATGTTCACTCCCTTATAAAGAGTTAAATACAGGCATTTTATAAGTAACACATTTATTTTTACTTAGTTTGCTATTACTGTCTTCATGATAGACATTCAGGATGATTTGCTTTAGTTCCTTGTATTAATCATCTCCCTTGAGAAGCGCATATTGTCACAGTTTTTAAAGCTTTAAAAAATTATTTGGCTATAGATTGTGAAAACCTTCCATTTTTAGGGGATTGAAGACATACTTTAGTGAAGCAAAAGAAAACTTGATAGTTCTGTGATCCACTTTTTAAAAGTACTATTTACTAATGTGCTGTCTTCAGACTGGAGCGATAACTTTAGACTTTTTGTATCCTCCTCTAATATATGCATGTGAAATAGAAAAATATACAATGAATATGGGGGACTAAATGTGAGATGAAATGTGGTGATAATGTTTGATAAAAAAAAAAAAAAACTTTTAGAAATCCTTAGAGAGATGTGTTCTTAAAGTGGCCTTAGGCATAAAGAACTTAGACTTGAAATTTAGATTTTTTTTCTTAAGACATAATAAAATTCACTAAATTGAGAGAAGTTTCTAAATATTTTAGAATATAATTGTTAACAATCATACTTCCCAAAACAAGTTTTATTTATTTATATTATACTGAACTATGAAAGAAACTACCTAGTTTTATTGACCAGGGCTACCTTTAGTGTAAGAGAGTAGTTGCTTTTCGTATTTTCTAAGACTATAGTTCACATTTGACCACTTATTTTAAATTTGATATAAACTAAAATTATTAAGTCTTGGTGATGGATAATAGATTTGTTTCAACAAACTACTTTTGTCACTTTTTCTGAGATTTAACTTCATTTAGTAACAGCAAGGGTCTTACTGTTTCCCAAACTGAAAATAAAGATGGCATTATTTTGTCTCAGCAATTACCATTCATTTCATAATACTTAATAGTAAAGTGGTTAAAATAGTTCATATATAGTGGATTTTTAAAGATTTTTTAAAAGAAATATTTTTATATAGCATAATACACTGGAAATATTTTAACTTAGAAAGCTTTAAAATGTAACAAAATTTAGAACAGAATTTTGGTAAGACAAAGTTTTCTTACCAAATGTTAATGATTACATTGGGGACTTAAGTTTAGATACAGTAGTTTCTAAATGTACTTTGAAAAGTTAATAATTTCACTTTCTTATAACTTAATAACACAAATTTGAGAAAAGCACACCTTTTAAAAATGTACATTCTAAGTTTAAAAATTGTTTAAAATATATTTCTAGTTGGCAGTTCTTCATACTTGAAAATCTCTTTTTGGTGGGGAATAAGTAGATTATATTTCTATCACCCTACCTTCTTTTGTTTAAAGTTTATTTATGAAACAGTATAATAAGCATAGACAACTACAAAAATATTGTAGTGTTGCATCTTTCATTACCATTTTTAGATATGTTTTAGTCTTAATATTGAAAAGGTTACTATAATATCGATTATAATAATATGTTTGAAAAAATAGAGCTAAAAATTTGGGAGGATGAATTTGTTAATCTTTAGAAGTTTTTAGGGGGACCTCCCCCCTAAACATAGCAGAAATCATTAAGTTAATTGGTTGCTAAATAGAATGGCAATTTATCTTATTGCTTTTGATAAAGTGAGTGGAATAAATGTTTCTGAATGCATTGGTTGCAACAGCAATTTTTTTTCTGTTATTCTACTTTTTTAGGGAGAGAGTCTGCTTTATTGCAGTGTCTGGATTTAACTACTTGAGGTGGTAGATACACTATCACAGTCGTCAAGGTTGTGTTTTAATAGGGAACTTAAAAGTTAGTGCATTGTTTACAATGTGGTTACTTTTAGAAGACTATAAGAAAGAGGTCAGTTTTGCTTTGTCTTTCCAACACTTTTTAGGATGTTTTTACTCTTATCTAAGCAGTATTTTAAAGCATGTATGTAATAAAATATAAGTGCTCAGATGTGTATGACAGTCAGCTTTTATAGAAGGTCCTTAGGAAAAAAGAAAGGCTAATATCTCTTTAAAAAACATATGAAGACTGGGAGAGAGTTTAGAGCAAGCAAGAGCACTGTGGTGTTGACAGCTTTATATCCCTGCTGGGTAACATTCACTTACTAGAATTGGCGTCCCTTGTCAGCTAGTAATTCACTCCATAAGGATTTTGAAAAAGGATGATTAATGGTGGGGAAATTTATATTTGTGAAATTGGTGATTAAAACTTACAGATCTATTTGAAGATTTAGAAAAAGAAAAGATTATTAAGGATGACGAAAATAAGAATCAGATGATCCTTTTTACCACCATTAGTGTAAGTGCCTAAAATGTTCTGCTGTATGTACTGCTCCAGCCACACAACCTACAGCACAAAATCGAAGCGATGCCAATCAAGTTTCCAGAGGAAGCAAGACATTCTGCTTCCCTCCTGGACTGCTGAAAGTCACTGGCCAGTTGTACTTTAACAGCAGTAAATTATTGTGTTTCATTCATTGTTAACAGAAGCAGTTTCATTTTTTAATGTTTGGTTTAACGAAGAACTTTCAGACAGCTTTATTTAAACTGAATGATCAGTGCTTGAGTATACCAGATGGTGTATTTGCTGATAGGAGGCATTAAACGTCAGACATCTTTTGGATATTTTTCATTTTCTTGTGAATTTTGATGATTTTATTGGTGATAAATATTCTAGATTTTAGAGGAAAATGTTTAAGTGCTAAGAATATCTCTTATAGATGCTTGCTTTTGGAGGGGGAGGAAGAATTAGTTTTTCAAATAATTTAATTTTGTTAAAGAGTCATCTGTTGAGATTATCTTATGAATAGTTGGCTTGAAGTAGAACCATTCTTGTTGCTCTCAGGGAGCCCTTTCAAGTATGTAACTGCCTTGTTGCAAAGAGAAAAAATTATTATTCAATACACACTGATGTATTCACATAGGAAAGCAAATGCGATCATGATTGTTGGGCAGGGCCTCATTTAGAGCTGAACATTGTCTACAACAACAGTTAGTCTAATTGTCTACATGTCCATTGAAAGTAAAAGAAATACAGTTCAGGTTAGGCGTAGTCACTATGTTAGCAGTTGTTGAAAGACATTTTCCTTTTTGAAAGGAGTGCAGATATGTAAGAGTATAGATATTGACATGTTGAAATGTATTAATAAATACTCAGAAATTTAGAAACATATTGTCAACATGGGAAAAAGTGGAGAAAATGTTAAATTCATTTTATCCAAGGATAAACACCATTATGCTTGTAGGGAGGACTCATGTAATTACTCCAAAAGAGAAAAGATTGTATTTCCTTCTTCCACTCCACTTTTTTTTAAAAAAGGTTTAAGATCTTTTAAATAGAATGAACTTAGGCTTTGGGGTCATCCAACAATCTAGCATGTCCTCTGTAGTTTTGCTGAGGTAGAAAAATAGCCCTTCTTTAAAGTGTTTTTAGTCCTTGGTCTGTTATTAAAATAAAGATATACTTGGTCAAAAAAATATATGCAATGGAACATACACATTAAACAGAACATAGGGTATCCACCCCTCAAAGTCCTGAGCATAATTTGATGTTTCAAGCAATTTTGGAAGCCTTATGTTCCATCAGCAGAAACCCACTGACCATTATATATTCAACATCATCTGCAGTGAAATGTGTGTGTATGTGTGTGCGTGTTGGAACTATACAGATGTCCCTTAAGGCATCCTCTTTTTTAGCCCCCATAGAAAACAAACAGCATCACCCTTTCCGGTGACTGTGACGAGCAGAATCATTCTCTACATCTAAGGTGTCCTGTGCTAAGTTTTCTTTCCTTTTTTTTAATATATCTGTAGGGAGGGAAACGGACCTACCATCATTTATTAGATGATGAATAATATGAACGAGTTATTTTAAGAACATGGAAATCAATTTTATTCCAGGGAAGTCACAGTAATTATGTGGTGTATCTGGCAAGGTATA